TAAGCGCTAACATGTCATATTTCAATTTGTTTGTCGTTATGCGAATTTCTGAATCAAACATATCTGTCCAGCCTTTAATAGTAACTGCTAGTTTTAGAAATTTTAAAGTTATTTAAAAGCATTCGGGAGGAAAACAACCATTAGAGAGAGTGAAATTCAGTATGTTTTGACTATGTGACACTTATCCTAAGTAAGGAAACAAATAAACTACTTAATACAGCAAGTATGTTATATTCCTGCTCCAGTGAACACGGCTTCAACTATAGAAGCACCAAGATACAACAGGATAAAGTCTGTGGATATGGATTACAATAAGATTATGGAACATTAGGTATTATATACACGGTAAAATCAACAGAACTGGGTGAGCTAATCAAAAGCTGCTTACAGAACTTGAACTACTTGCAGATGGTTCATTGACTACTGTATTTAAAATGTCGCTCAATGAAGCCACACTCTATTATGACTGGTGAGATACCGCACGTATACACACTCACCAGGAACTTTCGTTACAAGCTGATGGTTAATTAAAACGGAATGAATCACCCTATTTCATTACTGGTCTCCTTTTTATGAAGCATTATCTACCTTATTTAAGACGGCTTAGATAACTCGACCCCAGGTACCTACTCGATTCATGAGTTTCCACAGAGAGGAAGTGGACATTCCACACAACCTGTAGTCTTGCAACACTGAGACCATATAGGTAGATCTTAGTAGGATATCACGGTCTTACATATCTAAGATTCCTGTAGTTGATCCACAGTAGACCTATGGTATTCCTGTCTCCCTGAGTACCAGCCGTAAGCTAGGCATAAGCTCATTACAGGTTCGCGCTACAGTGAAGGGTCGAAAAAGACACTGATGGTGAATCATCAAACACTTAGTCAGAATACCATCACCTGCAATAATACCGAAAAACTTCAGCAAGTAGGTTGAAGCAATAAGCGTAGCGGCAATTACTGCAGGGTTCACAAGATGTTAGTTAAAAATACCGGGCAACTCATTCGTTTGTGATATATGTATCAGAGCTAGATATGCTACTACTGAGATAGGATAACTCCTTGATGGCATTGCGAATTTGTGAAGAGGTAGTCCTGCAAGCGGTTTCCGCAAACATGACTAGGCTGTGGAAACATACTGATACGGGTCAACCTCAAGGAAAAGCTGCTCCACGAAACTACAAATCAAGTCACCTAATAATTGAGACAAACAAACACAATCAAACGCTAATTTCTAAACAGCTTCCATGTTTCCATTAAGTCATAGCACTCCATAACTAGCACGCCCAAACACCGATTTAGAAACTCATGCAAACGTTGATAGAACGCCACTTCCTCAAGTCAAAGTGGTTGTGGAATTTGAGGCAGTTTGAAGTCAGGGAACATACGGTTACTGAACTTACATCAGCAACGCGAGTAAACGGAATAAAGGTCAGGCGAGAACAAAGTCGAACAAAATATCTGTAAGAACCAATCGGGAAAAGAGGATAGAGTCAAGTTACCGTTCAACATCTAAATGTCTTGCAAGTAGCTGTTGGATAAGGAAGAAGGACACAACAGAACTATGTAGAGGGGATACTGAAAAACGACAATCATAACATGTAACCCAGCAAAACTATAATGAGGCAGCCGAGCCCATCCAGATAGACAGGCTCCACCCAAGGTCTCTTCAAGCAGCCCTAAACAATAAAAAGATGCACTTCTTCTTTCACGCCATCCATATGTAGTAAGTATGTGACATATCAGGAGTAGGCCACATAAAGCATGGCTAATTAGACAGCAGCAAAGAACTAACTCGGGGTCAGCACTAGACCTCCATCATGGTTGTGCATAGGATAAGAGAGTTGACAGGGAAACGAACAAGCGGTGATTGCAACCTTCAAGAAATAAAGTAGCCTGGGTGGTTAATGACAAAAGTCAGAATTTTCAGCCTACGGGTCTGCTGCATTCCAAGATCAGTCGATCTTCAAATCGTCCCCAACCCAGGGTTTCTGACTCATATGCAGCCCTTATAAACCCCTTACAGGCCGGTACGCTCAAAAGAATGAAACAGGTGATTGAGTCTTGCGCGGTGAAAGCAAGCGCAGATCCGTCAGAGAAATAAACAGAAGAAAATCACTAATTGTAGTGCAATCTAATACCACAATAAGAGAACCAACTGATGAACACAACTCCACGCACGCCTTGGCCACATTACATACAGGCTCTGGTATTGGTCCAAAAATGGAATCCTGCCAGTCCAATAAGGACTGTCAATTAGTCTTGAACGTTTAAGCCAAAATTCTTAAACCAAGAAAACCCAATAGAGAATCCACTCCTGACTCAGAAGATCCTACGTGCATGTACAGCAGTGTAGAGGGGCTGCAAAGCAAAATAGGCGAGCTAAAAACTATTTGTACGCACATTACCTTCTAAAACATTTTCATTAATGAAGCTTGGATAATTCCAGATTTCTTAGATGCCAAACATCACCTGATCAACATCACCCTAAATTGCAAGAAGCTCATGGTTTCACAAGCATAAGATGTAAATCTAGGTTAAATACCGAAATTCTCACGGTCCTATTTTACTTCAAAAGCATGAAGTACTTACTCGAGGTGATACACAGGCCCCCTAAAGAGCACCTCTGAATGTAAACTGAAGTTGATTCCAGATGTGTAAGTTAATGATAACACTACCCACAACTGCATAGTAATCGTAAAACATTGCAACCTTGATGGAATTACCAGAGGAAGGTAAAAATGTCATATGATAGTTTACCAGCAAGCCAAAAAACTTTCCAACCAAAAAATCTGTCCGAAATAGTTGACAACGTCAATTATTAAACACTGAATTGCCGGGCACCGCAGCTTTGTTACATGCTAACGAATGGCAGTATGTTTATAGAAAACATATCCGTTCATCCCCTCACAAAGTCGAAGTTATAACAGAACGAAGAATTTCCTCAATGATAGCTCAAGGGAAAACGCTGGTAATCACGGAGATGAGCCATAAGGGAAAAGAAAACTTTGTAGACAAAGCATGACTGCAACAATATAAGAAGTCCTTACCGGAATATGAGCAATAGTCCGTTTGCAAAAGAAGATCTGGGACGTCATCCACTGCGCCAACCTCAAGGCAGACAACCTGAAACAACAGCTCACAGAACCATAGCACAAAAAACCAGCCTAAGTAAACCCGGAAATAAACCTAGTATGTGACGTAAAATTCACCAAAACTTCAGTCTGTTGGTTAAGAGTGTATTGGGAGGGTTTGGAATTCCATATCAAGTTCAGCAGAACCCGGTCTGCATAGAAGGTAACCATCGCACTTAATGATCCCAAGTCCATTTCCGTCTTAATCTTCATACTATCAGCAGATGACATCATAATGCGGTGGATAATAGATAGGATAAATGACCCAAAACAGGTCCGCAGTTCCACTCTGCTGCTGAAATCTTAGAGAGAAACATATGGCTTGAGTTCTAACTGGGAGGAGAAAAAGGTAAGTCATCTTTGAAATAATTTCGGGCGTAAGATTAACTGTAATATAATTAGACAAGCCGTTTCACTCACTAACAAGGGGTAGGAGCTGGGTTCAATTTCCTTACCACTCTGGACACTGCCACACACCCCCTTCGAAAGCGGCTTGCGGTTCGCTCTCGAATCCTTCCTCGATCCCCTCAAGACACTTGTCAGACCACATCTTAGCCCATCCACTGATTAAGTAAGCGTAGAACCTTCTGGATGAAGCATAGAGAGTACCAGCGAATGATGTCGTGGGGTTATGGAGCAACCTAATCCCGAGTGAATCCAAAAACTCGATCTATTCACCCTTCACTGTCATGAGATGTGAGGTGACCTTGTGGCACAGAACAATTCATTAAAATCGGTAACCGAGGGATGCGTGAGTTTCATCACTGACGCTTAACCCCAACGCATCGCCTGAGCCGAAGACATGCAGTCAGATATCCGTGCCGTTTGACACGTTGTTATGTTACTTTGCGCCGCCCATAAGTGGTCATCTAGCCGCATAGTCGGAGCATATCAGTATTTTGACATGGCCTATCGAATATACCTTTCCTACCCGCTGCCCAATCGTGTTTTTTTCTTGGTCTCGCACCCGTGGGTATTTGACACGTACCAAGTAGAGATGATTTACTTCTGGATCTTTCAAGTTTGCCCATGTACAGTTGCTACATTGTATTCTTAGTGACTCTAAAAGGTTGATGAATTCATTCTTCACCACCGTGAGAAATGAAGTGACCTGGCTGCAGTACATAAGATAGTTTTCAAGGTGAGCCGTCCTTAACAAACAAGTTACACAAACTCAGAATATGCAGCTACATGGGAACCCTGCTTAAGCAGCTTACTAGAGAGCGAAATTCAAGATCGTAAGCAATTTCTTTTAACTAAGATTATGTGAATTTTGGAACGTCTTGGCAATGATCATTTTAAATGTCTCCCATTGTTAAATCATCCAAATATTGTCAGACTGACACACTGATACGCATAGATCATCACTAGCGTAAATACGGAGTTTCTGACCTCACCACTCCAGCCTGAAACCTGAGCATCACCATGTAAATATTTTCATGATCTTAACTTCTCCTAAAAACTTTATATTTTCACACACAGATTTTGTTTTCTTCCTTTTTTCCAATACACATTGGCATTTCTCCCTTTACTTGTTTTATGATTTATGCTAACTAGCAAGGATTGAGACTGTCTTGCAAAAAACGGTCACAGAGACATCATCAATCTTTCTAACAGCTCCACAGATCATTACCAACGAGTTCTACAAGTTACAAGAAGAAAAACCCGCAAACAATCACATATCCAAGAGGTAAACGCAGGCAACTGGATGAACTCTCATACCTAACGAAGGAGTTAAAACTGAACAGGAAGAATCCATTCCCAAAGCCTAGATAAAAAGCTTGAAAACTGTCAACCTGCTGTACTCACATAAAGATACTGGATGAACTCCATTAAAATGATATTAGCACATTGCGCAACATACCTGGTATTATTTGTGATGTTTGATTTTCAGAAACCTCAGAAGTCGCTGAATAGCGATAGTTAGTAACATTTATGATATGTTGGACGTCTGAACAAATGACTGATGAAATTATCGGCCGATGCAGTAGTGTGCTGAAATTTAGATAGTCTTAGGAACATAAGAAAATAATTCTCACTCTTACCATAACAAAATTCAGTAATCAGCAGCAATAACTGCAGCGCACGATAAAGTGACATTCGATACCTCAGAAGGTGAAATATTTCTCCTTAATTATACAATCCAGTGATCTGTTGTTTATCTTATAAATTAAATAGCATTAAAAAAATTCCCATGCTTGTTTACAATTGTATGCATCAAGTGTGCCTATGAAAACTTTTTCCGTTTGGTTATTTGCTTGTTTTTTTTAAATCTTTTTATAGTAGTACTTAATATATTCGAAAAATACTTAATACTTTTTAAAAGCTTTTAGCCTGATACATGGACACAAATCTATGGTATTCAGACACAAAACTACATTTTCAAGCCCCAGCTAAGCCTATTTTTCTTTGACTTATACGCTTATTGAGTCGGACAACTGTCAAAAATCTTCATAAGTCACTGAATTTTATTAGCACGACAACAAAAAGAATATTTAAGCATGGCGCAAAGATCTTGGGTTTTGATCAATGTCAAGCATCCATCTCACGAGTCTATGGAAACCAATTCAGATGAACAATATCTGTGTTACAAACTCATTTAAACCATTTGACTTCCTCATATCTGCTTCTAAATCACGCAGAACGGCTGTAGGTTTTTGTTGGTTTTTGATTCAGTAGGAAAACTCAACCACCTGCTTCAGCTCTGCTAAATCTATGGAGATGGTAAAAATGCTATTTTCATAAGTCCTCACGCTTAAAACTAGGTTCCTTCATGCCATTTTCTATGTTTTTATGAATGTAAATAAAAGAGACATATTTTCAATCTTTAGTACCCAGTTTTGTCACCAATACAATTTTGTTATTTATGTACCGCTTAAGTGGAATCATACGGTTACTCCCTTCCATTGTATTCTTCTTGTTTCCGCCTCTACCCGCAACCAGCCCCAATTTAAAAGGAAACGCTTTTCATATTGTTAAACGAATTATTAAACTGCTCCACAACAGTATGTCGTTGTCATCGCATCCTTCGATCCTTCAGTAGTGTAGCGCGGACCAAACTGGACACAATAAAACCACATCCGAGTAACTATAACTTTGAATCTGTCTGCAGCACTTATTGTCGTTCCACTTAAGTCCCTGTTTCTGTACACATTTAGATGTCCGTTTTCCCACCGTTAAAGGTTAAGGATAACAGGAATTTAATTTTCATGTGTCAGTTTTTTCCGGCCTCGCTGTACACTTGATGCATGACTGGGCGTTGGCTAAATTTGTGGGCTACTGGGTTCGTCCAATGTCATGTCGTTAGGCATTTTTCTTAACTGGTCTCAAATGGAAGATGAGGAGAGTGAAAAGACAACTGACATGAACAATAAGAGGAAATGCGAAACGTCGAGGGAAGAGGGGTGACAATAATAGGAAGAGGCCAGGTGGATTTTAGTATGGCGTGGAAAAATGCAATGCGAAAGTAAGCGAAGGAGGTGAGATAGATGAGCGTCTGCTGGAAATGAAGAAAAAAACAATGATAGATGTGATGGAAATGGAAGTGGTAGTTATGGTGTTATATAATTCGGTTCACAACAGTTGTGACAGTAGATTAGGATTTATACGGAGTTGACTGTGTTGGAATGACGCCAAATCATATGGTTGTTTCGGCCTGGCCAGCACTTTAGCCGGATGAGCACAAGCTATCTTTCGCTATGCGGCCGTTCAAACACTTCTTGACGCCATCGGTAAACGGAGCGGTGGCAACCTTATTACGCGACGCATTCCGGCGGCCACAAACTCAAGGACAGAGAAAGTGCCAACGCGAATAGGTTTGTACTCTTTGGTAGGCAACTCTGTTTGGGCAAAGTGCCACTATGCGGATGATTAGAATTACTCCGTATCCTGGGATTTATCACCCGGTCGCCGCATAATCTTTGGTAACTAAAGCAGTAATTGCCCCGTTCCTTTGGCTCATTCTTGAATGATTTTTGCTGCACACCTGCGGATCTTTTTGTGGCACTCCTTGAACTTTCGCTGGTAATTTCGCGTCCTTTTTGTGGTATGGTGGTGTGAAGACCCTATGAACCGCTCAGTGAAATAGCACGTGGATCTTGTGCGGCTTCACCAAGAGCCCCACACTGACTCCACGTATGGCGCTAAGGAGGCCGGCAGGACGTGTCCTGGACAGATTGGACTTGTGCGTTGTTCGTTAGTTAGTACCAATCCTGGGATTTACTCCTTGGCCGTTTGAGAAAGATGCGGGTGATTGCCGTAAGTCGGAAGTGAGAAAAAACCATGTTAAATGTCACTCCATTGTTTTCCATCCACTTTTCACGCATTCTGAGGTTGATTCGCAATGCAATCGATTCTCTTTCAGGTATCGTAGCTCTCCATAACTTAACATCGTCGGCGTGAAGTGGAATCAGGGAGCCTGTCTCCGATTGAAAGTCGTTCGAGAAAGCAAGTACAGTGATGCGCCGAGAATCGCCTTTTGCGGTGTACCAAACGATGAAGCTTTCCATGTTCACGAGGTCGTGTCGACTTCTTTTCAGAACTCTCTTACTCGAAGCAGTCCTCCGGCCAGGATAGTGCCTGGCAGCTGGCACCCATTCTTTCAATTCTGCGTACATCGGTGGCATGCCGGAAAGTACTGAAGGCATTAGTGAAATCAGAGAGGTACGAGCGCAGACCCAGTGCTTCCAGCGCACCACCAAGCTGTTAACAGGCCGCGGAAGTTTCGGTATACAGGACCTACCCGCAGTGAACCCGCGTTGGGCGTCACCTTTTACCCCTTGCTTGTCCAACTACCCACTGACATAGTCGTCCACCACTCTTTCCATTACTCTTCACGACACCAGTGGAAGGACAATAGGTTAATGATCTTCTGGGTCCCGTCCGACTCTTCCTTCGAAGAAGGAGGGGAGAATGGTGCATCTTCACTTCGATGGTAAGTTCTATTTGAGGCCTGCTTGAACGTTGGGCTGTCTCATTTTATCATGGAATATATTTCATCGAATTTCTCCCCCCTATATTGTTTTAATCATTCAGTTGTTATCTAATCGTATCACACACTCACGCGTTTTGAAATCAAGAGGGAATGTGGTAGGGGTGTGCCAACATTTGTAAATATAAGCCGGACGGCCTCAACCTCGTATGCTTCAGCTTGTGCAACGAAGAAAGTGAGTGCGTTACCGTCCAACGTCTCCTTAACCATTTGAGTAAATACAGACACATAAACATAACAAAAATTTACATCGTACCTAACTGCAGTTTCCCATATTTGTCAACATTTGTTGATGAATTCACCGAATTTGTTTCTCGGATTCTAGGTGAATCCTCACCCAGGGTCTATGGAGATCTTAATTCGTATGGCTGCGGTTTTCTTGCATCATACAGCCATGAAAACTTGGCTAACTTTTACCTCGTCTTGACGAAACCCTAGATTTAGTACTTACAAACGACTCTGACACATGTGAAGCCCGTAAACAGGCCCAGCTGCCAAATTTTGACACCTGTATTGCACACTTTTTGCCTAAGGTGTACGCCAAACTACGCAAGAAGGCTCTCAGCTGTCTGCCCAGGGAAGTCTAGTACACGTGCTACTCATGGAGAACGTACTACGTTTGAGAAGCATTCTTAAAGAAACACTGGGATATATTTACTGATGAAGTTTTGCACGATATCCTCACCAATACCACAAGCTGTCTCATATTCCGTCTCCGTATTTGGTACCTGGCTGAAAAAATCTACGTGAGACATCGCAGACTTTCCTCTCCCCATATCAATGGGCTCCCAGGAGAAAAAGAAAGTCCGAGGTGAGAGACCATCCCCGCATTAAGAGACTCAACTGCCTAATTAAGAATGAAATACAACATCTAAATATTATGAACAACCAGACGTCTCTATAGCGTACAAAATCTTCCAATCTATGGGAACTATTTAAAGAGCTTATCGGTAGAAAACAGATAACGAAAGAAGTCTGCTCGGATGTCTGCGTGTTGAGCAAGTCATTCAAACGTCGGTAAGTTGATTTCATCTTCCCCGTCCTAGTCAAAGGGATAATTGCCGTCTTGGCTTTAATTCAAGATGACATATTTAGATATCTTAAACCCACTGAATTCATCCCAAAGCTTAGGTAATGAAGATATTTCAAGTATTATATTTAGAAACTTATGAGGGTAATCTGCTACACCTTGTTACAGACATCTTTAGTGCATCTTCTAAAAACACAACACCCGCTGCTGAAGGGAGATCAGAGCTATACTTGTGACCAAATCATCTTCTGGATCAGATATTAGGTTTCCACCAATTGCCACAACTTACCTTTTTTGAATAAACTGGAGATATTACTTCCACTTGCACCTGAGCCTTCATTGAACGTTTTCGGAGATCCAAAACATTTCGCCCAAAAACGTAGGAGAAGTAACTTAAATGTTTCCAGTCTCTCATCATATTATTGTTTCCGGTCAAGAAAAAGGTGTAAATTATTTTCCCTGTGCCCTTTAAATCACTCATCCGACTCTTTACCTGGACCATTCTTGTCAAAAAAGTCTGCCATAGCTCATACTGAGCCATGGGTTAAAAAGTGGCCGTACTCTTACCTTTCTGGAAGAAAACAGTATACTGTCTATAAAGGAGGATGTTTTACCCTAAGGCTGATTGAAGCTGGTGTGCATCGAGGTGTAGTAATTTCTGCTTTCCTGTTTTTGTTCCTTTCGCGTGATTTACCTTATTCTGTTGAAACTAGTTTTACTAAGCATGCTGATGACGTGATGGTTTTTATTCCAGATTGCACTGTGTCAAGCGGATTCTCATCTGTGACTGACCAATTGTCTCTCTCGAGCGGTTCCGGGTTAAATCCTTTTGAAGGTTAACCCCAGGAGTTAACAAGACTTGTGTGGGCTGCTTAAATCCCATGACGTCTGTTGCGTTGATGATATTTCTGCAGAAAGTAAATCGGGTGTCGACTATCTTGGACTGGGTCTTGCTTCCGATCTTTATTGTTCGTCTCGGATCTTTCTGACTTCTAAAGGTACGTTTCCTTTGGTGTGTTACACAATGAAACTGAGGCTGTTTGGAATAACTCAATCTCTACCTTTACGGTTTATTCATTC